AATGTCCATTCTAAAAACGAGTAGCACTACAATTAGTGTGAATTCTATATGAAAATGATGTTATACCTAACTTCCGTACGTTATATATACATATTAGATTTATACATGCGTATGGTGCAGTCTATTTCTTATATGTCGTCATTTATTACAGCTACTGTACCAGTCAGCTTGCCTCATTGCATAGCTAAGCGCAATTGGCATACCCTGCGGTAGGCAACTGATCTTTACAGGAAACGATAAATTCTGTGCCGGAGCAACACTTATAACAAATCCACTCACATCCGGTCTAATTGATTTGGCACGCCAGGAAGCTGAATTCAAGGCACTGAGTATTCTTTATCGTCGCTGTCAGTTTCCCCTTTTTTGTAGGAGAGGTGGGAGTTCTGTAGAAATCGTGCTGAAAACGGAATGCTGGAATAGTTTATCTGTGTTATACTCCCAAAGCGAGGTTAGGCGAATCCTAATTTTCACTAATTATACTTTCTACTAGCAGAACATAGGAGCATCTCCTATAAAATGCAATGGAAAATAATCAAAGTCACGAAAGAATGTAGCTCCACAGCTTACCCAGTTTCGGGGCTCGTATACACACTTTTTTGCTTTGACAGCTAGCCTAGGGACCTCAGTGGCAGTATCACTGTGACTGGCGATCAATAATTGAGGAATATTGACAAAACAGTGGCAGTATTCGGTTCACTTCCGTAGCACCTAGTATCGGCGTATGTGAGATACCTTCTATCCATGATCGATACCTGTCATCTTTTCCTTTTATGAGGGCACGCCCTAGGCCACTGAAGTCGTAGAATCATGTCTGAAAGTACTCGTCAAACGCGAGTATTATCTCTATAATGAAACCCTCTAAAATCTGGATAAAGATTCCTCTGTTTACGGAAGTCCCTAAAAGCCCTCCCAACAACGGTTCTTTAAACAGCTTACATTTGCAGGTCCAGGTCTCGAATGCTCACTGATTAGCAAACAACGAACTCTGACTGATCTGGATCAAACTTAAATCACGAAGCGCAGTATTAGGGTGTCCGCATAAACTACCTTGTCCACTGATCACCGAGCTTAGATTTAAAAAGAGGCATCAAGATTTGGGCTAGAGTTAGAATTAGGGCTAGAGACCGGGAATATTTATTCATCCTGGAATTAAGCACAAGGCCATCTATATTACTGAGGTAGATTCAAACTAGCATTTATATTTACACATTTTGCATTTACTCAGTGTCCGCGCAATGCGCTATTTCACTGCGACCTTTTTTCGCGAATATGTCATCGATCAGCTGCCTGTATCTGAATTTGACTAGGGATTGTGTTGAAACTTTATAAAGTATTCCGTTTCGAAGTTGATAAGGGACTTTTCGAAAAGAAAACCCTTTAAACTACTGTTGGTTTATGGTCCCCCTATGACGCTGTGAGGCGCACTTAACATTTCTCGGTCAAAGTGGCCACGCAAGCGACAGCTGAGATAAAAAAAGGTTACTGCTACGTTAAGTTCCCGAAATTATAGATTTGAGTCAATGAAAGTGCTGCCTCTTTGGACTTCTACAAACGTCGTATGTTTTATTGCTTTATTTCGCGAAGGAAATTCTGCGCCCCAGAAGTGGGATACTTACATGAACTAGCTTGGACTGATCAGACTTAGTTAACAATAACAGCTACTTACTGATTATGAGCGCTTCCGCAAAATGAAGTGTGCTTTTACTGTACCTGCATGAGCCGAAGAACAGGTCATCTGAGTCTGCCTTAGTGAAGGCACCTCCGCTGGTATCTGTAGGAGTTTTGTTGTCCTGCATATGTATCACACTCAAACTCCTGAAGTTCAGTTCAATTCAGGGTATTTGAGCGAACCAGACTAATGCCTTTGAGCTGTGCATTCGCTACATATAAGAGAGAAAGATACGCTTGATTTTGAAAATATAATTCCAGCATTTTCAACAACTTCGTACACCGAAGACAAAATTAGGCACAAAAATCGCCTGCCACCGGAAGATCACAAACAACGCATTATGGCCGAACATTGTAATTGCCAACATAATAAGCACTAGTGCAACCGATGTATACATAAGTATTTTACATGTGAATGGAGAACAGAAAAAAATGTAGCTCAGTTTCAAAGGCCGGAAGAGAAGAATTGGCAACAGACTTCAAGAAATTGCTGCGCGAGTTGAAAAAAGACGGTTTTCACACAAATATTTCTTGGTTAATGGTTTGGGTGAGGGCAGTATTGATTTTAATCAGAGCAGAAGATTTCAGAGCGTGAAAGGTATGGTGGACGGCCTCAATGCCTGCCTTCCCTTTGTTCTCCAATGCCCGCTGCCCCAAAGTCATGCGTCGTCAAAAACAACTGTTCCAATGCTTTCTTTCACGGGCGCCTCGTTCCCCGAGGCTTGACCTCTCAGCTGCTTCTGGCTAACCAATAACAGCTGCGCCAGCGTTCCCTGCCCTTCGGCGTTCCGGCGGCCCCCACAGTTGACCTCAACTTATTCAGTTACGCAAACACGTGCGTCCAAATAGGCATGCCTGCCTAAGGGCCACTGGAATACCATCCCTTGACCGATGCAGCAAAGACCTCCACAGACGACAGCCCCTCGGGCAGATTGCAATACACCAATAACAGAA